AAACCAGACACGCAATTCGCAGCGAAGGATATGCCCGGCGATCTAGCATGGCCCTCCCCGCGGCGCTATCGGCGCGGCACGCCCACCGACTGGCTAACCACTCGCCGCAGGTCTCTAGCCGTTTAGCAGAGAGAGCGTTAGCGTTGAAGAGGGCAGCACCGATGAGAGTCGCATCAATGCGGAAATCAACGGGCAAGAAGGGGTCCCATTTCTCGGGTTCTGAACGTTTCTCATGGCTTTCCTCTATTCCAGCACCACTGACACTTCTACCTTATTTCTTATGGGCTGCCTTCTAATCGTAAGCTCTGCCTTTGGGAAAGCGGATGACGATTACATCCGATGTAATCGATGTTCATCTTATCACTAGATATCTATTTTCCTAATTTCTTATGATACCTTTCACTCTTTTCTGATAAAAAGATGCTGAAAAGCCAAACCCCTCCCAGAAAAATTGCTAGAAATCACCTTTCTGCACTCTTCTTTATCCTCTTGTCCTTTAACCACAACCGCACCCTCATAGCCAGGTGGCACGTTGAGGCTTATCTGCAATAAAGTTAGAAGTTGTTCACAATTCTGACTTTTCCGCTCTTTCCCGATCTGTCTGACCTTGAATCCAAGAGGTGAACACTGCAGGTGAACGAGACCTTGTTCATCTGTTGAGGTGGAAGCGGGCGTGGAGACTGTCGGAATTATTGGCACGTTGGCTGGAACAATATCAGAGAATACTAAATATTTACATTTTTTCAATTCATAGCAAATTTTATATTAGTTGATAAAGCCACATCGTAGGAAGCGACTAGGACCCTGACTTAGCGCTGTATGTTGCTGGACAAGATTTTTAGCATCCAAGCGACAAGGGTAGTAGTAGTTGCCGAAGCGTATCAGCTTTCTGGCTAAGCGGTTGCTCCTATTTTTGAGAATTATATTTAACGCTGGGCTGAGGTGATGGAGTGACAACTGGTGTCAGGTCCCATGTGCATAGGCCGGATGTTGAAAGCCGTCTCGAATCTCGTCCAAGTCGACCTAACGTTCTGTCCCTGGTGTCAGGTAACTAGTACTATTCTCGCTTAGAGGACAAGCATACTGACTGCACCTCGGCTGACCTGCGAATTATGGGCCGTATCGCATTCAGACTGTCCACTACGATTTGAAGGAAAGCGAAATGCGAGGCGTATGTCAAAAAAGGATTGATCTATGCCGAATTTTTTGCCTTTTTACCGTATATGAAGCGAGCTGGATGAGTTATAAATTCAAAAAATCCCTGAACACATTCAGGGGGAAGAATAAGAGGGGTGGGGTGGGTGTCAAAGCGTCACAGTTATTTATTCTTTTTTTTCAATTTTTTCCAATTCCAGCTCGATAACAGTGAACCCGCGGGGAATGTGGTCGAACCTCCGAAGCGCTT